CCTCTTCTGTAATTACGTGAAAATGTTAATAACCTAAATTAACAGACGCTCCCTATCGTGAAAACGGTTAATTTGAGTGTGTACTTATGAGGCTTATCATCATCATCATCATCGTCATCACAAATGTTAATTTTTCATACACCAATCATCACTGGTGAGCAATTAAACTTTTATCATCATCGCTTATGATCAAGTCATCCGTTGTAATTGTTATAATAAGCATTTCCAATTTAGCCATGTTGCCAAATGCAGGAAATCAGACGAACATATCATGACCATGGCGGATTCATATATTACATTTTCTTCTGGCTGGAAAATGAGACTCACACAATGGGGTTGTCATATTTAATCCCGCCTACGCCCCCCCCCCTACCCCCAAATAAAAGTCTGACCAATGAACACTGGGGTTGCTTTGAGATTTGATTGTCGACAAAAAGCAAGAAAGAGAGTGGAAGTCTCTTACCCGTAATTAGATCCGATTTGCATTCCCACCAGGGGAAGTAACCTTAACTTGTAACCTCACACTACCCGAACCGCACAGCGCACAGCTCCTCCTCGTCAGCACTTCAGAAGACGGAGCAGTTAGCCGCGATTAAAGGCACCGAGTTGCGAAAGTGGTCAACGGACCTTGTTTCCATTGCTAGAGTTAGGCCAAAACAACATTTATTTATTTTGTATTAATATACTGCACTGCAATGATGTGCATTTCCCCTATGATACGCGGACATTCCATTATGCTGATAAATTTCCCCTAAGATGTGCAATTTAAGGAGAGTGCTGTTGTTTCGTTGCAATGGATCAAATTACTGATGCCCACCACACGTATCTGCCCCAGAGGAAGCGTGAGAGGACAATTAGCAGCGCGTGCGCATTGTGAGTTGGTGTTAACACGCAGCAACGGCAAAGCTGATGACTTAAAAAAACATTAAATATATACATAGTGTGCGGTGAAGCATCCCATTCCCTTGGGTGTGTTTATAGATTTTTGGCTTTTTAAAAGAGTACACACTTGTGTGAAATATCTTTTGGCTTCACGGGAATATGGGGAGAGAACAAAAAGGAATGTCACGTAAGCCGACGAGAGATGTTCAATATGCGCAGATCTCACAGTCACATTATTATTATTTTCAAGTCAATGGCCTGAACAGAATGCGAGCACCTTTGTTGTTATTCTTCTTCTACAACAACACGTAAATGCTGACAACCTTTAGCCGATAGCAGAGCAAATAAGCTTATTCTGAGAGATTTGGGTAAACAGCCTTGAATATACAAACATGCATCCGAATGTTCAGGTTTGCTGCACGTGCAATTAGTGCTAACATTCCTCATGTGCGGTTATCTTGGCGGGTGAGGAATCCGTTAAATCCTCTTTAAATGCACGTCACACCAATGGGTATCGAACGGCGAGTTGCTTACCCATTTGCGCGCGCGCGCGCGTTTATGCCCTTTCGGCCGTACGTCCATCCTTGCTTGAACCGCCGTCCCCACTTTTCCCTCACTCGACATTTCCGACCATGCCAATGGGACTATAGTCGGTGAGCTGCAGCTCGACTGTAGTTGGGAGTGACAGAGGAACTAGGAGAGGCATATCCCGGCTTTGAAACACAACGCTTGTGCTTTGCCAAGTTGGCTTGATGTAGGCTTAGATGGGGAAATGTTTGTTTACAGAAGCACAGGGGAATGGGTTTATCTGCCAAAAAATGTAAAACGCGCCCCATGAACAGCAGTATGCCATAAAAATAGGTCTGGACTTTGAAAAGAAAGGAAATTACCAAACTAAATCACGTGAATAAAACTACACAAATAGGGTAAGAGGGGAATACATAGAACCAACAAGCGTCTGTAGTTTCTGCTGTTTTGTAAACTTTCTTCCGAACGTTTAAAAATTACTGTGTAAATTATTAACAGTGAGGGCCCATAATATAATGAGCGTTTAATTAATGGTATTCTATCATATACTAATTACTTGAGAATGCTTACTCCGTAATCAGCGCACCCTTACCAGAGGTAGTGGTGCATTTATTGTGTGTGCAGTGGGGATACAGTACGAAATAAATCTTAATTAAAGTCTGGAGAAGAGCAGTTGCTTGTCCAAGGGATTAATTGCATTTTGTTGAAGAAAGTTGTACTCCTACATAATTTCAGAGGCTTTCGGTACGAACTACATTTAGATGTTTTGATGTAGCCCCACCATAATTGTAATCAATTATATTATGCAAGGTAAAGTTAAATGTGCAGCCCTGCAATAGCTTGCTCATGTCACCGATGGTGGAAGGGCCTCCTCGAGAGGACAGCCCCATGAACAGAGCACCTCTGGAGGAAATTTGGCCTACTCTTCCACACTGGCCAGATACCTCAAAAGAAAGTTGGAATACCCACATTTTACCCCACCACACGCAGCCTGCTGATGGCATAACTCATGTGCCCATTTATACTGCTGGATGGACAGATGCGGGGGCATTTAAGAAACTTGCAAATTATTTTAATGCCCACGCAGGGAGATCGAGCTGAAAGTTAGTGTGCTAACCATTACACCACAAATACCATTAAAATTGGCAATCATTATTACAAACCAAATGTATTGCTATCGGCATTTCTCAGAATTACAATACAGCTTCATGATGCAAAATGGTGTGTCGTTTTGGTTAGGCTCTCCCACTGAGCTCTTTAATTATCTAAAAGTTACATGACAGATGGGTCTCAGGTGACTCCTGTCTTACCAGGCCTATGGCTTCTTTGGGCATTACTCAATCTACCATCAAGTTACAGCTGCCACCTATGAGCTATGAAGAAAAAATGGTACATATGGTGGGAAGAATAAATTATGTCACAGCACCAGATGAAGGGAGAACTCCATGCAAATGCATTTGTCTTGAGTGGTATTCTTGCTATATAACTGATAAAACTGACACTTTTAATGTCCTGGGAAAGCTTATGCATTTCCCAGAACAGCTATGTCAAAAAGTGGACGATCTTAGCAAAGAAAAAAACAAGTGGTAGCGCAACATCCACTCAAACGAAACTTCAGGTTGATCAGGATTCCCTTCACCCATGGTACCATTGGCAATTCTCACAATACCTGTCATTAGTCACGTGTTGAAAGAACAAAATCACTCAAGTAAATACATTTTAAAAAAATATTCGCATTTCTTAGGAAACCTTAAATAAGGCTGCAGCGGTGCAATTCTTTTGTAAATGTATCATCATATGGTGCCCTCTGCAATCCTTCAAGAATAACTAAATAAAAGCTATAGCCATCTGTTAAGCATTTAAAGATGTCGGTTCGTTTTTACTAAAGTAAATAATGCCATTTTTATAATTACATATATTGCATTTCAGAGGCACATCCGATTCAAGGTGTGCAGCTTAAGTTTTTTGTTTGTGGGCAGGGCACACGCAGGGTCCCACATAATGAAGCCCCCGGTCACCGTGGGCACACGGGAGAGTGCACGTGTAATGATGTGCAATTAGCTACACAGCAATATAAACACGTGCCTGTGTGTACATTATTTCTCGCCGCTTCAGCAACTCCTGTTTAAAAAGTAGTAAATTAAGAGGTTATTTAATCGATGCCTGCTTATAGCACTCGGAGCCACCAGCTTGCGTCTCCCTGCTGCGATGGGATATTCTCTCGAGTGCGAGTCTGTTGGCTGCCTCTGATGCCAATCCTTCCCTTATAAAAAAAAAAAGAAAAACAACCCCATCTCAGCAAAACGTTTCCACCTTCCTGCTCATCGCAACGCTCTCTCGACGTTCTTCTTCGTTTGACGTTTTATTACACACGCACACACAGAGTTCCACACGTTTCCATGAAAAAATTGGCTCGACGCGGTGGGGGTTTGGGGGGGGGGAAGCAAAATTGAGATGTAAAGCAGAGACATGGAATATAATTGGATGTGCACGGTGGTGCAAAGGGAGAGACAACACGTAGCGAGCTAAGCTTATATTTCATTCATGTTGTCGGCAACAACATAGCGTGCATTCTAATAAGCTTCTTTAGCTTGTTCCCCTCTAGGCCTATCACTAGCCTCTGATAGCCATAAAAAAATCACTCACAAATGCCGTATGAACTTACAAATCGCCTTATAAGTCCATTCGCTAAATATATGCACAGTTAGCGTTTCATCTGAAGTGAAATGCACAGGCTTGCAAAGTGAGAGGGGTGGATATCAGAATGCCTTTGGCACCAACGCACCCTCCCTTGAAGTAGATCACTGGCCCCCTCTACTGCCCGTGATAGAAATTACACATCAAAACGTGGCATTCGTACCAGATTACTGAATAAGCACATCATCTCATCATCTCATACTTACAAAATAATGGAGCAATTGTGAGTTGTTAATTACTCTGTCTGTCCGGATTTTTGTTAAGCCCATTTTTTTGGAGCGCATAATATTTGTGAAATATTAATATTCAATAAAATATGAATTCCATGTACAGTATATGTTTTGCATGTTAGTAAAAAAAACATATTTAAAACTTTTGGCAGCATTGCAACCGATTTACAATACTATCGTCATATTTGCCACAGACGTTTACGACGTCTCTATAAGGCCAGCATCAATCGATGTACGACACAGAAACTTAATTTATGACCCATCTTCCGACAAGACTCTAAACACATTTGAACGGCAATGTTTCTCCAGTGCAACGTCGTAGAAAGTCCGGGAGTTTTATTATCAGAATGTCAATTTCGGTATTAAAAAAAACACACAAAACACTCTTGGCCTATAAATGTATAGCAATCGGAGATTATTTTCTAACATACGTTGTTGTTGTTTTTTCAATAATATATTCCTTAATGTTCCATAATAGAGGTTTTTTGGGTGAGATCGCGTAAATATATAAATGTGTTGTTAAAACCCGCCACCACCCGACACAGCCAACTAGTAAGGGTTGTCATGTAAACAGAACGTGGCCAATTCGTCACTAGCACAGCACTAACCGGTGTTTTGGAGAGCCAAGCCACAACATTTACAATCTGAGTACGACGTGTCGCCAGTAATTTCTAACCCAAAAAAAAAACCTCTATTGTGGATGATATTGGTCGCGAAAGCCTACGTGTTAAACATTCCTTAATGTTATTATCTATTCACGTATTACTTCGAGTAGTTTAGGTTTTTTTTCACTAATTCGAACCTATGTTGCCTAACGTAAGAGGCTTGTCTTGAATTGAAGCCCGCAGGGGACCCCAGAGCCCCCCACGGGGCCCAGGAGCTGAGAGCCCCCCCCCTTGGAGATGAGTGCCCCACTCGGGCCCGACATCTCTCGTTGTTTGCAATTCTCCACGTCCAACATGCGGCTGCAGAAGATCAAGGAGATCAAAGGGGGGTGGGGGGCACTTAACAAGGAGTCGGGAGGGGGGGAAACAATGTAACCATAACATGTACAACTATTAACATGACAAATGCAATGTAGATTTTTTTTTTGTTAAACATGTGCGTGATCTTAGCCACGGCTAGGCCCTTGACTTTTGACTCTTTAAGAGATGGCCCAGCTCTGGGCTTGAGCCGCTCCGTTCCTTTCAACGTCCCATGAGCGGCTCAAGCCGTGGCCTGGCTCAGCTCTTGGAAATCCCGATGCGTGGCTGGAACCCCGTGCTCAGAGCCGGCTCTTGTTAAGCGTGGCTTTTCGCTTGAGCCAGAGCCAAGCCGTGACTTAAGAATACGGGCCCAAAGACCTTTTTATAAGACACTGGGATACAACTGGAAGTGGTTCTCACACTACAAAGAATCTCACAACTCTACGCGCCTGGTGTTTGTATTAACACCAGCTCACAGAATCCCCATAGATGCAATGTGTTTGGGACGGCGTTATACTAAACATCCATACAAATAGCATTCTAAGATGTTTGTACATAAGCACCAGCTCTTTCGAGAGGATATTGGTTTGAAACATAATTCGATTCAGAGGTTAAGGATTCATTCCACATTGGTGGTGCTGATGTTGAGGACAATGTTATATGCAACTTTCTGGTCGGTATCTGCTTCATACATTACTATAAAGGATCATAGCCGTCAATGCGTATATAGATAATTACGTGATAAAACAGAATGCCAACATTCGCATTATCAGCCACGAACATGCCAATACAGTTATGTCCTACACAAAGACTTCTGGTCCAGTGATCGAATGTAGTGCTCAAAGGTTGGCATTCGATCAATGAGAACATACGGAGTTTGATAGTGGAAGTTTGTTTAATGAGGTGATTTCAAAGGTTCGGATGTATTGAATTACAAAAAAAGTCGCCAGACATTTGGAGGACAAAATTATAATGAACCTAATCACCTTGAATGAAAAGCTGAGTTTATTATACAATATACCTCGAGAGACTGGGTTTGAGTCCATGGTAGGCGGACTCACCTTGCTTTGTGAATATTCACTGGCAAACCACAGTGATATGATCTTTGCACATCACAACAAAACTGTTAAAACGGAGGTACGAGGGGAAGGTCACTGAAGTATTGTCGGGGGAGAAGCGGTCTGAGAACAAAGCCCTCGAGGGAGACTGGCAGTACATAAAAAATAAGTCTCAGATTTCACCACCTGGGTACTGTTATATCCAGTGCGTGGCAGGTTAGCTGGAACACAACGACGCGATGCTACCTTCACAGGAATGAGTATATCTATTCCGTAGCCGTTGTCATGTACACCGCATTGAGATGCGGTTCTATTCCGACCCTATGTAAATCCACATTGTTGTTATGTCATGATTATTTCCTGACATGTTGTAAAGTGCTTAGATAGAGATCCAGTTGAGTATGAGTGCTAAATAACTGCACATTTTATTTAACTTTACGATCCAAATTGTTTTTTTATTCCACAGTTACAACTGTAGTATATGTATATGGTCATAGCCTTGCCTAGCAGAAATCAGTAATATTAAGCTACGACTGAATATGATTGCAAAGTGCTGGTTTAGAGAAGTCGTACGAATATTGCAACGAGAGTCTGAACTAGTCTATAGATTCCACGAGCTACCGCAATGCCATGGTGTCTATAATGATGACTAGATTATAATTCTAAGAGCCTCTATATTCCAAAAGGTACTATGCCAAGTACTTTTCAAGAGCACTGACAGTGATACGGATGTATCATCCTATTACTGTGATTATTAACTTTGCTGTAACTTGCTCTGAATTTATTTTCTAACTACAGCATGGTTCATCCCACCACAGCCCTCCTCTCTGTCCACATCTTCCCTCGATCTTCTTACCATCTCTTGCTCAATGTCTGCACTCCACCACTTTAGTCAGCTTGTGTTTATTGTTTGTACTTATTACTTACAGTCTCTCTTTATAATTGATCTACTTCGTTATTACATAAGTGATCGAGGCTGATTTTAAAGATCCCTGGCATCCATCATATCTACAGCAATCTTACATGTAAACACCCGGTCTACAATTAATTATTTCTACGTAATTTTCGACACAATCCTAAGTTTCGCTACTTGTACAATCTAAAGCATGGTCTACATAATTCCATAGCTAAACAACACAATGTTGACAGATACTTCATTATAGCACACTCTGGGAGATATTACAGAGGTTTTGATATCCAATCTACACTCAATAAGGCAATTTAAGACACTGTATAGTCCAGGAAGATGATTTTACCCCCATTGCTTAAAATATGGTTCATTTTAGTTTTAAGCTGCAAATGCTTTTTAATTATAACAAAAAACTACATATTTGGAGAACTTTGGAATGGGCTTGAAACAGAGGTAATATATAAAGTGTGTAATTAGATTTAATAGTAATTACAGACCTTTGTGAATCCACAAATGTAAGAAGGGCTCCCCCACACCATGTCGGTCATGGAGGTTGCTTTTGACCATAATTCACCACGCTCGTCAGTGCAAGTTGGTGAAGAGGTGGCCAGGACTGGTCCTGATATTGCTCGCCACTGATGTTAGCTGTGGCTGGGAATCAAACTCAGGCGACCGACCGGGTTAATTGTGCGGCATGATGACCGTTTGCGCCGCGGTAAATATAAGCCTGCGTGTCGCTGCAAAAAAAAAAATCTGGCTTCGTCAAATACAACAAATTCAAGTCCTTTCTAGAGGACTTACAATATATGAAAGCCATTACCTGCACACAGCTACACTTGCAGTAGTGTTATACATAACCCTCATTACACCAAACAACGAAAGGTGCCCAACGGTGATTTCATTTCTGGTATCGGTATAACAAAGAACCCTAAAAAAACAACCGCAACCTCACAATTAACGTGGCTCATAAACAATCTCGCGAGGAATGTTTATGAAAACGCACACATCAGTCATCCGGTCTTTAAGAGTGGGAACGAAAGTGCACCTTTGCGTAGGCGAGCATTACATGTACTCCGCTAGATTCTTTGCGGCGTCGTTGGATTTCCTCCATTGTCCTCGCCTCCTAAATCCTCCCTTGTGCCCCCCACCTAAGGGGGGAAAAAAAGTTACAGCCGTGCTGTCATGGTGCGAGATCTTCGGTGTGGGGGATGCGAGGGGAAAAATATGCCACGGTTCAAACCCAATTTCCCACACGACATGCAAAAAGCGGAAATGCATGTAAACCGTTCTGCTTTTAGAAAATGGATTTATATTTGTTTTTTTCTCAGGGGTGGGGAGGGGGCGATGGCTTTAAATCTTAACGAAAATACAATTTTCTCTTCGCTTGTAGTAAAGCGAGTTTTTTTTTATTCAGAAGCACGGAGTTGTGGGTCTGTCGGCTTTGACAAATGGGTAGGGATAGAAGAGGATGCGGTGACTCCGACGGCACAAAGTTCTCACGGTACACAGCAGCGAGAGGTCTGGCAAGATCGACGGAGGGAAACGCTCCGTGCAACCTGTGGGATGCCACCGCCCTGTGTCATCCATCCTGGACGGTATGGCGCGTGGTGATGCACTTCAATATGTCGCGCAAATCAATTGCAGGATTAAGATTACATACATGTTGCTACTCAATTAAGGCGTAGCTGCAGCCCTGTAATTGCTTACCCACACTACTGCTGATGGAAGGGCCTCAACGAGAAGAATCCCCAAAGAGCCATGGGGGTCCAGAGGGTGTTTGCACTTTTTTTTTCTACATTGGCCAGATGCCTTAGGTGGGATTACTCACACTTGACCCAACCTCCACGTGACCTGCCGATCGTCTCTCTGGGTACACGGCGGCCTCCGATGTCTCGATCAGTTCCATCATTGACTTGGCTCGACGTAAATTTTAACGCGTCTCTCAACGGCACAAACTTTCCCCTCCCCATGCTCGTTACAGCAGAGGCTCTCGACGTGGTCGGAGTTGATGAGCCCTCGAAAACGGTCAAAGGTCTCGGTGCGCTAACATAAGCCACATCAAGATTGCATGCAGGGTCTATTTTTAAAGGGGGTATTCGGTTTCACATTTCTTTTGCCCAGTCAGTATACCTCAAAGACACATTTGATTTATTTATTTATTTATTTGAAAATCGATAGAATTATAGCCCCATTCAACAAGTCATTTTCTTGGCCTTTGCCACAAATGATGACAGGAATTGCATTGGATAGACGTCGTGAACTGTAAGTATGTGCAATACTGAATTGTGTGTAACTAACGTTCGCTGGAAAGATGCCAGCTCTATGCACTTGGCTATTTGTATTTAAGAATACAACAAAGTGCACACACGTATACGTATAATTCCTTCAAGCACATCCGATGTGCTACATCAGCATGCAGACAGTTTAATCAATATCGGAGGAGCTAAATAAAAGTCTGAGCATTGCATAACAAAAGCATTTTGCACGTGCTATAACTTCACGACTCACCGATCACATCCATCTTATTTAGTTCCCTACTTAATGGCGGATGTTTGGCTCAAACTCCCTTCATCCTGTCCGATCTTGAGCACTCTTTCTTCACTTCACCAAATGGACCCCCTCCTCCCCTCCAATTCCTTCAATTCATCCGGCGTCATTTTTATTTTTTTCCTACCTCTTGGCTTCTCTCCCAATATCCTTGCTTCAAGAACTTCCATTATCAAAAACCCATAAGCAAGTGCCCAATCCACATGTTTTTGCCTCTTGCAGAATGTTTTCATGAGACAGAACATCCTCATCACTCTGTCTCCTCCGTCCAATACATCAGCAACCATCAATAATATTCAAACAGTTCATTTCAGTTCATTTCACTCTCCCGGCTGGAATCGTAAAAGATTTCTTAATAATAAGTGTTGTGATTTTAGTAATAAAAAATATCTATACCTTGAGGTTTCAAAACTTTCACAGCATATTAGAATGCTTTAAATCTAACCAACATTAATCAATGTGTTAAATGTTAACGAATTTCTGCACATATTTCAAATCTCATCCAAAATGTTAACCCCCATTATTCTTCTCACACTCCTCAGTCGACAATTGAAAACAAATGGTATTGGTAGTATAGCCATTGCCTTTGTGTTCAAATCAATGACATAAACAAGAAGCAGGGCAAGAGAGCATCGACCATTCACTAGTTTCAAATAGTCTTGAATTCATGGCCGGGACCCATGATTGCCAAGGCTGGGGTCAAGGCCACATGCAATAAAGCTAGGCTGAGGTCAAGGCCAGAAGCCAGTCAAGGCCATCTACTCGAAGCCAGTGTTCTTCATTGCAAGGCCCGCAGGCCACTGGCGGCCCCTGGTGGTCTTCAGTGCTGCCCCTGACGTGCGGCCTCCGACAATGCACAACACGTGACACCCCCCCTCCTCCCCCCATCATTGTGCTGTCAAACCCAATGGTTTCAAACTTGTGGCGGCCCTCACACTGATGTCTTATCAGCAAAAGTGCCCCCCCACGCTCTGAAAATTAGCAAAGAACACTGCTCTAAGTGGAGGGCAGTGTCCAGCAAAGTAATTTGACCAAGGCCACAGCCCCGAGGCCGAGGTCAACTTTAAGCGCTGAGAACTGGTCCTTGAGCCACCCGCCAGGCCACGGACTGGCGCAGAGGACCCAGGACTGGTTCCAAATATTGAGGCAGAAAACTCTTAGCTGGGTTAAGCTCCTCATAAAGGCACAGCAGGACCTCTCAGGATGTTGAGTCAATGAGCTCTTTAATTAGACAGCTTCCCAGGGTGTTTTATTCCCACCAAACAATGTCACAATTTTCATTCGCAATTCAACAAAAGGCATTCAATTGCAGCATTTATTCTGCATTTTTTTTGTTCATTCAACTTGGATTGACATTATAGAAATCTCTTCATGGTGATATTATTTTGATGAATCGATATTAATGTATTTACATTGTGCGTTAACAACCAAGAAGCATATACATTTTATGTGAATATACATATGTGCAGTGTCGACATTAGATTAAAAAATATATATTTACATCAATTCAGCTCCACCTAAAATGGCAATGCATTTGCATGGCTTGCTCCGATTTTACATATGCATGTAATTATTTAGAAAAAAATCATTTCAGAGCAGTTTTTTTGTAGCATGTTGTCACGAGGTCAATATAAATATAACCTGAAATGTTAAAACAGTGGCAAACTTCAAAAATTAATGCAGGTGGTGGAGGCTTTAATAAAGGTCACCTGACAGCACGGGATACTTCAGCAACTGTCCCATTTTCCCTACATTTCCCATGTGTCCGTGTGCCATCATTATTAAACTGAGCCCACAAGCCTGCCTCCCAGTGCACTGGTGCAGAGGAGGAGCCTAAGGCTTCCCGCAATGCAACCTTGACAATTGGTTTTCTACACTTAGACAATATTCGGTCTTTCTCGGAGCTCAAACACGAGCCAGCAATGACGCTCCGTCTGCTGTCTGCATTCTCCTCCTTCCGAACACTTCCTCCCAGCGCGCACCCATCCCCTCCCCTCCCCACCAAACGATCCTTAACTTCCCGCCACATCCAGCCAAACCACCAGGGTGTAATGTATGCAGAGTCATGGAGGAGGCCTGGCCACCTGGGAAAATGTGACGTTTCAGTATCAACTAAAGGGAATGAGATTGATTTGTCACTCTCAACCTTGAAGGCCAATAGTCTGGCTGGCAAAAACACAACAGTCACTTGCTCAGCTGACTAGTTTTATAAACGGTGCTGCAGAATTGCCTTAAATAAAAAAAAACCTGCCAAACACCACTCAATTAAATATATACGCGGAATTAAAAAGGATCTGTATCCAGTTCATTCACAAATAGCATCCGTACTTTCACACACAGAGAGACACCTGTGATTTCAGATTTGAGCAAATGGTGTCCGAGTGTATACGAAATATGAAAAGGCTTAACCAGAGTTAATATGCTTCGTGAATTTATTTTAAACTGTGCGAACCAGATGATAATGAAATGAATTATGTGGGATGAAAATACTTTAATAAACCTCACTGAGATGCAATTTCAACAGAGCAAAGTCGTTGCCATTTAATTGGTAAGGCAATCATCAAAGGAGGCAATTAGCTTTAAAATAAAATGATTTTTTTAATTAATTACACTCCGCCACATTTTCAATAGGAATCGCAACCATAAGCTAATTATTTTTTTTACTGACGGTAGATGTGGCTTTCCAACTGGCCCCAAATTTAATCAACCCTCTGTGGTTTGCGTGCCATAATCACAGTGTAAGCTAAGCAAGGTGTGCAAAAACATGAGGTGCGAGGGAAAAGCATCACTTTGTAAACTACCAGGCGCACGCACTCGGTACAATAATAGCTCAATCGAGGCAACAATACATTGACATGATGAGATAGGAAAATGATAGATATTTTCAAAGGTCATGAAGATACCACAGCAGTGTATTTCCCAAACAGCTAATTTTCAGTACTGTAAATGCTGCCAAATGTTGCCCACACGAATAAATAATTAACATAAAAATTGTGTCTCTAAATGGACCTACCATGCTGATGCCAACACAGTCACCAGCAGGGCATGCGGGTTGAAAATCAATGGTGCCACTATATAAATCCCCATTGGCTTTTCGAGATCTTAAGAATACCAAGGGGTTTTTTGTTTAATGTTGAACAGGATCCATGTAAAGAAGATGCAGAATAGGAGGGGAATTAAATGAAAAATAAATATAATTAAGAGGGTATTTTTTTTTTTGTCACTATGTGTAGCAAAACATGCGGCCATCCTCAGAGGTTTTATCGAACACACTCACGTTTGACAAAAAAAATATTCATCAAGTTCAAAAGGCAATACAAATCATTACATAACAGCGCAAAATATAACAAATGTGGCTGACAAATCATGTTTGACACAAATATAAACGTTTTAAAAGTGGTTTTGTTGATTGCGCAGTTGACATTTGCACATGCCACTGTGATAATTTTTTGTTTGAGTGGCAAGATTTCAATTTTTATATTAACTATTGAAATTTTAATCTGCAGCCCCTCTACAATTGTGTACATGTTAAGTGTTGTTTGTGATGTTGTTTTAAGGTCGATATTTTACACACACACTGATATTTTGCAACGTTCACTCT